GCTGCGCCGGGACCCGCTGGCCCGGCCCCTGACGCGCTTCCGTTCCTTCCAAATGCAGGTGGCCAGCAGGACGGCTGTACTGGCCACCAGCAGGACAAGCAGGGGGAGCAGGAAACTCATGGCTTCATCCATGTCCCATCTTGGCCACACTGGGAGCCAGGGGATGTGGCACATGTCCTGTAGAGACACGGTGCTGATGTCACAGTGCTGTGGATGGGACACCTGTGTGATGTCACAGCCCCAGGGCACACCAGTGGTTCCAGGAGCGAGGGGCTCCATGTGGATACTGCTGGCCCTCTGGAGCAGAACAGATGGAAGGATTCTCAGCAAAGTAGGACACAGTGATGATGAGGAGGATGATGGTCTCACTTCCTGGCTGATGGAGCCAGGGACATGGCTTGTCTCCAAGGAATTGGGTGAAGCTGTACTTGTACTGTGTGGTGCTGGGGAAGAGGAGAGGAGCTGAGCTCATGGAATTCAAAAGGGATGTGAGCTGTGTTTTCTCCCAGGGACACACACACACACACAGGGACATGCTGGAATGGAACTTTATTGCTCCATGGAGGGGTCCAGGGTGTCTTGGTGGCGTCAGTAGGTGCTGAAGACAGCCTGGATGTGCTCCCAGTTTTTTGGCTTGTAGGTACCAACCCTTGCAGCAGAGGGATGTGTGAGGTTGGGACATGGAGACCACCAAACGCAGCCCCTTGTGCCCCACATCCCCCAGGTGTCCACCTTTCTGGAGGGGACTCCAGCAGCTGAAGAACTGCCAGTAGGTCCTTTCAGTTTTGTTGCCAGCCAGCCCATGGATGGAGGTCACATAGGGACCCCAGGATGTCTGCTCCGTCTGGAAGCTGCCGGCAAAGGGAGTGGGCTCAGAGCTGAGTGGGGGGATGCAAACACTTCCCATTCTCTCCCACCCTCTGGCTCTCACCAAAAGATGTCAGGTTTCTCATTCCTTGCCACCTTCATCACGCGGAGTAGCGTGGAGTTATCTGGGACACACACCAAGGTGGAGTAGTGGAAGTAATTCTTCAGTGTGTTGGTGATGGACAACTGCACCATGATGGAAGCTGTGGGCAGGGAGAGGGCCAGGGTGGGCACCTGGCACATCCCACCTGGCACAGGGCAGGAATGTCATCCCCACGGGTCGGCTTCAGGTTGGAGCCCCGATTGTCCCCAGCATTGGAGACAGGAACAGCTGTTGGCTTGGGGACATTCTGTTGGTGGCAGCTCAGCCCCGCCTACCTGCATTCAGGTATGACTTGCCCATGAGGCAAGAGAGCAGCTGGGCTATGGTAGTGTAGTCCTGATTGTAGACCACGCTGAAGGCTTGGGCACAGTTCCACTTCTGAGGGGCATAAAACTCGCTTGAGGTCTCCAGAGCCTGTGGAGGAGGTAGAAGGTGTCACGAGCAACCAGGGAGTGGAGCTGTGACCCCACAGCCCCTCTCCATACCTGCAGGGCCAGCCCCATGCTGTAGATATCCCTAATCATGCCATTTCTCCTCTCTTGCTCATCCAGGAAATCATTGTTCACCACCTTTAGTGCATCATGGATCAGATCCTGCTTGTCTGTGTGGTTGTAGGCACACACCAGCGCCAGTACCACCATGGCCTGGGTGTCTGTGGGATCCCAGTGTCACTGCCAGCAGCCTGGAGACACTGGGAGCAGCGGGGCTAGAGGGTTCCCTTACCCACAGTGGGAGCTCTTGGGGCTCAGCAGCTCCTTGGCCACGGCCTCAACTGCATCTTGGTTTTTGTATTCC